AATTAAAACCGAGAATTTATTAATGTATATATATTTTCACCTTCTGTCCCGTCCATAGCTATAGTTCTTACGACATTCTGTCCTAAATGTTGCGCTACTTCAAGCACAAGGCGACCGCCTTCTTTTTGAACTTCTAAGGAGTTTAAAATAGAGGGCAAATTTTTTTCGTCGAACTGAACATCGACTACGGCACCAATGACCGCTTGGATGGTGCCATAATTACTCGCTTCGGTTGCATAACTACGGCCTATTTAATAAACCTTTTAAGTATCAACGAATTTTTTTTTTTTTAGCAAGTATATATAACAATAATGCTGTAATTACCACGATAACTGGTGGCAGTTTTCAACACATTTCTAGTAATTAAGTTGCCAAAAGCCGGCTTTTTGTTTATAAACCGAGACGCTGCACGGTGAATAAATGTCATTTTAATGAGCTCTGAACACTTTAATGCGGTCACTGAACTATACTGACTGAAAGATGGCTCGTTGATCTAGATTTAATGCAACACAAAAAATTTAAATCAGGCCAATCATCGTCATCAATCTTAACCATTGAAACTGCAATCCGGCTGACTATTTAACATTCCTGTATTGTGCAACGTTTTACGTCATACTCGAGATTTTTCTATAAATACGAGCATTATCATTTATCAATAATTGAATTACAATGAATAAAGAACCATATCAAAGTACCCAAGGCCCACCATCGTCAGGGCCTTCGAGCTCTGCTACACCAAGGGCAAGTGACAATGCTCCGAAAATGCAGTATAACTGTGCAGGTATTATTTTTTTAAAATATACCTTTCACTCTAAATTTAGATTGATATCTAAATTTTACAATGTTACTGAAATAGATTGCGGAACAGAAAATGAAATCAAACCAAAAGAACCTCTGCGCTGTAAAGAATGTGGCCATCGCATAATGTACAAACAACGGACTAAAAGGAGTAATTTTTATTACATATTTCATAAACTTATCAGTATTTATTTACTTTATATATTAACCAATCCTTTGCAAAATTCGATTAAAAATAGTGGTCCAGTTTGAGGCCCGTTAAAATCAGTAGTATTGTTTAAAGAATCCGTCACGCTAAAAAAAAATTGACTAATATTAATATTAATTAAAAATAAATTTATTGGTATTTTAAAATAATAATAATTTTTTTTTAATTTTTTTTTAATTTTTTTTTTTAATTTTTTTTTTTGATATTATTTTTTTATCAAGTTTAAATATTAAGAAATCAATAATTAAAATATAAATAATATAAAAAGACTTTAAATTCATAAAATTATAATTAGTTTAATCTTATTAACTAATCATTATTTTCAAACTT